GGGTGGTTGTTCTCTTTTTGTTTGTTTTTCGTTTGATACTTCTTTCCTTTTTGTTCGCTTTTTTTTAGCTCATGTTATTTTTCCTGCTCACCTGTCTTGATTAAGTCATTCTGTTCTTTGAATGGCGTGCAGGTCCTCTTCATTGGTCACTCTTTTCTTGGGTCCAGCGTATGCAGCTTTGACCCTATCCAAAAGTAAGGAGGGAGGAGGGGGGGCAAGGGTAATGTGCAGACAAAGCAAGAACCTAAGCTTATACGTTCGTCTTCAGCGAATCCCAAGAAAAGTATAAATGATTTGTTAAAATTCGGAAAAACAAATAATTTGCCTTTTAGATAAGCCATTTTTAGTATTCAAATCGACAAAAATTGAACCTGATATAAAACCACTCTCTCCTAGATAAAAAGACTGACTTTAGACCGTTGGAATATTCCGATTGTTTTCCTTCTCAAAATCAGGGTGGTTCTGTTTTGGTCTAATGTATAATTTATCGAAAGTATGAGCTCCGATTCAAGGTCAATTTCCCAAGCAAAAAAAAGGTCAAAGTGTAAACAAGTTTCTTGATAGACACGCAGCTACACATGACCTTATGCAGTTGCGAGCGCCCTAAAACTCTTACTAAAACAAACAAAACAAACTACACATACGTGTGACTGGAGCATGCCTGTGAACTCAATACCGCCGGACCCCTTTCCTTTCTCGAATATAAAGAGGAAAATAAAAGAAAAGAAAAAGACAATCTCAGCTGACTGGTTCTGGTTCTGAAACATTCAGCAATAAAACTGACTTTGTTGCTATTTTAAGGCATACCAGATCAAAAGCCGACGGGAGTCTTTTCATTACTACTTCCACCTGCAGTCGCAAAACACACAGAACAGAACAGACATGTTTTAAAGCCCAGCCCAACTCCACCCTCTCTTTTTTTTGCGGCATGATGTGACTCAGATAACATTAACATCAGAGTTCACTCTTTGAATTAATAAGGGAGATCAAAGCGTTTATCAGGTTCCTTTGTATCTATAACATTAAGCATATTTAGCCTTTTGTTGTTCTCCTCTGACGCAAATAACTTCTGTACTTTCGACAAGGTAGTAAAACCTAAACGTACGCTGCACTTTTCTTGCCCTATCAGGGAAATAATGGCTAAACTTCCGAAACAGAGATTAAACCCAGGTGTATGTTGCCTACTATTCACGTCCGTCCCTCTAAAAAAAAAAATAACAGCTATACTTCCGAAAAAAACCGGCAACAGTATCATTTCGTGTGTCGCTTTAGCGTTTCGAACATTTGTATTGACCTTTTGGGGTATTGATATCACTCTCTTCACGCTAGCCAAAAAAGCGGCTCGCTGCTACACAAAAGCCTTTGTTCTTTGGTTTGTTATGAACACGTAAATGCTTTTCCGTTTTTCAATTTGCTGCGCTGATAAATTCAAACGTAAGCTCTTTCTAACCTTTAGACGTATCGATTAAAAGGCGATCACGTTACACTCGTTGAAAGGCGCCCCGTGCGAAGTCGTTGTCAAAGACTGGAATTCAAAGGATGGGATTTAGAAGGAAACGAAGTCAAAGCTGAGACTTGAATATGTCTACTCATGTCGGTCTTAAAATGTTCGATATTGTAAAGAATACAAAAAAAAAAGAAAAAAGAAATTGAAATTCCTTCAGCAATAACAAACTTGATTATTATTTTTTTGATTTCCTCTGTGTACATGAAAACATACACGCGGGCAAACACACACACACACACACACACACACACACA